TTTTTTTATGATGATGGTATGATAAATCAATGAAGCTCCATAATAGTGAATAACCGTAAAAACTTCCAATTCATCATTCCTCCATGTTTATAATTAGATTAGCGTATCAAGCACAATCCTCCCATAAGATAGCTGCATGCATGTTGTATTAGTGACCACATGTTCACTTTCCGACTGAAGTCAAGATCAATTACCTACTTTGTGTGTGTGTGTGTGTGTGTGTGTGCCGTTTATGTAGGGAGGTAGAAGATTATGTGATCTTTAATGACAGCATTAACAAATCACATGGATGTCAAGAAAATTGGACTATTGGCTGGCAATTATTGTCGTGATCTTCACCTTGTGGGTCCCATTTCTTTTTAGCTAGCTGCCATTGGATCTCAGAAAGCTTGATTCCCCGACATGCTTAAAAGTTTTGATAGATGTGAAATTGACCTGTGTGTGTGTGTGAATTGGAAAAACAAGGTTGGTGATTATAGGTGTTACCCACTAATTAGGATTGTTTTGTTTTACATAATCACAAAATAGTTTAAGTTTGGTCCTGTGTTTCCACATCGAAATACATGAAAAATTGATGAAATGTGCCGACTCTACTCTTTGGAAGCTTTATATATTCACCTTCATTTTCTTCCTCCAAATGCTGATTTGGTTTGTGTACCCTGTATCTGGACATATATAATGAATGTGGTGAAGTCTATAAAAATGCAGGGGGTGGCAAATAAGGTTTCTTCAGTGTCTTTACCCAAAAAAGAGAGAGAGAGAGAGAGACTAATTTCATATATTTCCTACCCAAAATATAAAAAAAAAAAATTAAAAACTATGCATTTATTTATCATACATATTCGAAATTTAGTTGAAATCTGAAACATTGTGCAGAAGCATTTGTTGAAGTCAGCGACACCAATTACTATGTCCCATACTCAATCACCATGCAGGCAGAAGATCCTCTCCACAAACCCATTTTTTTTTCGGGGTTCAGATCCTCTAGAGCTTAGCACTTAGTACCATGGAGGCTTGATCAATGGGCTTGCTTTAGTTTTTCTTTTCGAAAGTTCAAACAAACGGGTACATTCACAATTTTACTTGTAATAGGATTTAGGATACGTCCCTTTTATTAGTAAAATATGTGTAGCTGAAATACAAGAACACCCCAAAAAAAACCATTACCCATTGACGATGCTAATTCAGGAGGTTGGGAGGACATACAGGAGATAAATCTACCTCTAACATTATCTTCATAAAGAGATTGCTTGAGATCCCCAACCAGGACCCCCTCCTGTTTGGCGGAACTTTGCATGCATTGGGCTCCATGTTTCTGCATCAAAACATCATTTGGTGCACAGGATCTCTTCAAACACGAGCGAATATATGTCCAAATCGTAAACATTAGTGGTATTTTTCTCACTTTGCCTGTTTGGAGGGTACCAACTCCTCAAAATTTGGTAAATTCAGCTCCATTAACAACTACTTATGAATCTTTTTTCTGCCTACACCTATCATCTCAAGTTTTGGATCGAACTAATCCATTGACACAAATAGTTCATGGGAGAAAATTGAGTTATTTGGGGCTCGGGGAATTGACAGGGAGAACCGCAAGTTTTCAAATACGAGATATCCATCCTAGCCACTATGGGCGTATTTGCCCAATTGATACATCTAAAGGAATCAATGTTGGACTTATTGGATGCTCAGCAATTATGCACGTTGCCATGCACCAAAGTCGGCTATTAAGCCTGTGTTGCGCTCCTGTCGAACGACTTCATTTGGTGCATTGGACCCCTCCAAACGGGACGGAATAACTGGATCGAATGAACATTGTTTGGTGCATTAGACCCTTCCAAACAGGGGGGATCCACTTTTGTACAACTTAAATTCCTACAATTAGGAGTGTGAACTTTTACCAGCGATTGAACTACAAAGACAAAGACAAGCATGACACAGAAGCCAAAATGGTGTGCTCTACAGCACTTCTAATGATGCATATGGCTCATTAAAAAAGCAAATGATATGAACTTATTAGGTTCACTGATTCTAATGAGAGGGGATTTTTAGTTGGAAAATAGCTATAAAAGGACAGGCTTTTTGGGGTTCATCCTCTGGCTTTGGCTTGGTGGGATACAAAAGCCATTAAGCACTCCAATTTTGAACATCTCTTTGTTGTGATTGAAAGAAAAGGCAGTACCAGTAGCCACCACATGCTCACAACTCATCACTTTCCTTTTCTGTGGGGTTGTGTTGAAACTTGGGAACCCCAACTCACACGAGTTGTCCACATTTGAAAAAGAAAAATGCTTGGGGTCCCACCTTGCATAGCGCCAACTCATTATCATTTCCTGTGGGCTCTTACAGCTAAATCCCTCCATGTATCATCATACAAATCCCTGTTTCTTGAAGCCATCCACTTCACTGTTGTGCAACAGAGTTGTGTCTGCTCAAAATTTATCATACAAAAGATGGGTTTTTATTTTAACCCACACACACACACACACACACACACACACTCACTATAGGCCAATGGGTCAATCTGGAAGAGAGACTTAGTTGTCAAAGTATAGGAACTACTACTGTGGATAAGGGACAAATGCCTAGCATTGAATTGGATCATCTCTTATTACTTACACACACACACATATGTATGGGGTGTTTAGATATACTTTATTGACATATATGGATTCAAATACGTGTAACATTATTACAGGTAAACTTTATTTGACTTATCAAGGGATTGAAAAGATATGTATGATTCAAGGTTGGATAAGTGGTCTCGGTTATACTACAGCAATGGACCGTCTTGGTTATTGGAATTCTGAAATCATTGTTGGTTAATACTTGTTGGTTTAGGGTGGGTTACACACACTTGCAAAGGTCGGCTTCATTGGTTCGACTTCCAGTTTACAAATTACTCAGGTCCACTGAAAACGTCTCCTCCAAGGGGATTGCCAACTTGTGTGCCTACTGGGACCATTGGGACTACTAAGCATTGAAAATCAACAGTTTCGGGAGAGAAAACGTCAAAATTAGTCGACTCCTTTTGTCTTCTTTCTTGAACCTTCGACCTTCTAACCATTCAAATCTAGTTAATAAAAGACATTATATATCTTTTAAATAAATAAAATAATTGAAATCCTAAATTTGAAGTCAATCAGCAGAAAAGCGTTTGTTCTCTAAGTGGTTGGAATGCTTTCTGCGTTTGGAAATTTGCGTTCGAGTCTTGCACCTTTCTCCTCTCCCCTCTCTTAAAAAAAAAAAAAAATTGTTAATATATATATATATATATATATATATATATATATTTTTGATGACCTAGAACTTTCTAGGCCAAACCCTTCGGACCTACCCCAAAGGCATCAGACTAGAGATACAGCAGCCGACTCTATAGCTACAGCACCGGGTTAGTCGAAAGTGATAAGGGAGGCGGCGAGATACGATCACTGACATTGTGTGTAGCAGCTCCAAGTGTTACCAACCTGTCCAAGCACCCGGGACTATATATATATATATATATTTACAGGGAGAAGGACAGATTTTTTTTTTTTCTTTCCTACTCAACAGCCTCCATAAGAACAGGACTTTCCTTCTCAACAGCCTCCATAAGAACAGGAGGAGCACGTTTGAGTTAAGAAACAAAAATTTGAAATTTATAAAAATATTTTATACTCCATACATTAAAACGTTATTTAAATATATTTTGGATGTATTATGAAATTATTTTATATTTCAATTTAATATAATCTTATCTCTAGTGTATCTGCATATGAAATTTCTTGTAATGGTTTCTGGTAATTAATTAAAAGATTTCATGGTACAGTAGTTTAACTTTCACAATCGATGATGTCATCCAACAAATGAGCATATAAACACACCTTTGTGCATAAGTTACTGCCCAACATATACTATATAATACATCAATGACAGCTTTATGATTAATCAATCAAGTTACAATTTTCAACATGACAAACAAAGGCTACATTTGTTTTACTGTAAATTATTTTCTCAATGTATGGAATGGGCAAACAAGATTCATATGCAGTGGATGGATGGAAAATAGTTGGAAAATATTTGTTAAGAACATCTATGGTTTGGCACTTCAGTTGGAAAATATTTTTTAAGAACATATATGGTTTGACTTTGAATTTTGTTGTCAATATAGCATTTGAATTCCGTGGTAGAGCACTTTTCAAGAATAACATCAGAGTTGAGATTTCCAAACACTTCTGCTTCGTTAAAACCGAATTCTTTTGCGATTTGAGTTTTGGAATTGGAATCGGACTGTAAGAGAATTTGTAAAACGGAATTTTAAAAAAAATAAATTTTGTACTCCCTCCATTTTTAATAGTCCATTTTTTTATTGTCCTAAAATAATTATTCCATATAAAAGGTTGTGAAAATTAAATGCATATTTCCAATAATATTCTTTAAAATTAGAAGTATATTAAATACATGTCCCTGAAAAAAATTTATTTCACACAAGGGACTTTTTTAATGAGACAAGATATATTACACAATCATTCAATAAGTAATGCTCTCATATTCCAAACACTTAAAAGAACTAATTAATAGATTAAATACTAGGGTAGAATCATCACTCTTCAAATTATATTTCAATATAATAGTGTTAGAATAACCGAGTAAAAACAATTTGTAAGTAAAAAAATCATCCCCTCTCTCTCTCTCTCTCTCAGTCGCGATTAGTCGCACCGACCGCGCCGTAGTGAAAACCGGGGTACGCCAACGTCACCCAAATCTTGTATGAGCCGAGCCACATTATATGGAACCGGATCACCGTTTCCATTTATCACACCTCCAGCTTATACCTCACTACAACCATAAAAATATCTAATCCAAAACGGTCGAAAACCGGCAACAGTCGGTGACCCAAATTTGCATTTGCACGCAATTTCGATTCATTTCATCTCCAAATGCAATGTACCTAACCCCAGTCAGATTCTAACCCTATACCCTGACCCAATTTTGGTTTATTTAAACACAGACAGTGTGTAGAAGGCCAGTTGGGTTGTAAACTAGTTTACTCATCTCTCCATTTCCACTCCATTCCTCTCCCTCCCTCCCTCCTTTTCCTCTGTAGATGAACAGTCAGAGACTTTTCTTTAAACTTATAGTAGAGCTCTTAAATTGATTGAGTAATGATGTAAAGAAAGAGAGAAATAGAGTGTAGTTTTTGATTACTTCTTTCTTGGGTTTTGCTTGTTTTGTTGTGGGTTTACTCAATTCTTTTCTTTTTATTGATGGGTTCAGAAGGGGAAGTGTTGAAAAAGGGCAAAAATGGGGAACCCAAGAGAGAGAAATGGTTGCACTGTGACTGGGTATACACCAGTACCCTACAAGTTGGGCTAGTACTAGGCATGGGAGTGTTGCTTCCATGTCTTCTTTCAAGTGACTCTTATTAATTACATTAACTCTCTTTGAGCTCAATCTCTCTACACATTTAACTCTCGTAGCAAAAACAGACCAAACCTAAACAGATCTGTGTTTGGACTTTGGAGTACTAATTTACTAGTTTCACTTCAGTCATGAAGAGACTTGGCAGCTCAGATTCTTTGGGTGCTTTGATGTCAATCTGTCCAACTACAGGTTTTAACTCTTTTAATACATTACACTCAATACTATTTTATATATATATATATATATATATATCTTTAAGCGGTTTAATTATTTACAAACATTTGAAATATACCCATGTCATGTTTTCTTGTCCCTAACCTTTTTCATGATTGATTTGTGTTAAATCAATCCCATATATTCTTTTCCTGTCATGGGTTTTCTTTTTCTATTTCTAATATAGTTAGAGACAATTTAAGTATTGATTTGTGATAGTCACTGTTTGTGTGTTTGATCTCTTTCTTTTAAGTAATTGATTTGTGATGGTCACTGTACGTTTGTGTGTTTGATCTAGAAGATCGCAGCCCTGCTGGTAACAACCATGTCTATGGTAGGGAGTTTCAGTCCATGTTGGAAGGCTTTGATGAAGAAGGGGGTGTGGAGGAATCAGGCCATGTCGCCGAGAAGAAAAGGCGATTAAGCGTGGATCAAGTCAAGGCATTGGAGAAGAACTTCGAAGTCGAAAACAAGCTTGAACCAGAGAGGAAAGTGAAGCTCGCCCAAGAACTTGGGTTGCAACCAAGACAAGTAGCTGTTTGGTTCCAGAACCGCAGAGCTCGCTGGAAAACCAAGCAGCTTGAGAGAGACTATGTTCTTCTCAAAGCCAATTTTGAATCTCTTAAGCACAACTACGACTCACTCCAACATGACAATGAAGCTTTATTGAAAGAGGTATAGCTAATAATTTCATTTCAAAACTATCAATTTTGTAATTACACAGCGCTTCTTCTGTTCAATGATCCGTTATATATGTTTGTAGATACGAGAACTGAAATCAAAGTTGCAAGAAGAAGAGAACACGGAGAGTGAAGTTTCGAAAAAGGATGAGAAAATGGTATCTGAACACGAAAACAAAGATTCTGAACAGAGTAAGCAACCAGTTTCTTGTGTTGGTGGATCGGATGCAACTGATTTGAACTACGAGAGCTTCAACAGCAACGGCAACGGCAACGGCAATGGAGTGATCGGGAGCTCAATCTTCCCGGATTTCAAAGATGGGTCGTCGGACAGTGACTCGAGCGCGATACTCAACGAAGACAACAGTCCCAATGGAGCTGCGATTTCTTCATCTGGTGTTCTTCAGAACCACCAGCAGCCATTTGTGATGAATTATAGCTTTCAGTTCACGGACTCGAAAGCGATTCTGAGTGATGCCCAGAAAGCGTATCAGCCACAGTTTGTGAAGATCGAAGAGCACAATTTCTTTGGCGGGGATGAGTCCTGCAATTTCTTCACGGACGATCAAGCTCCGACCCTTCAATGGTACTGTCCTGATCAGTGGAATTGAAGATGACCCAGATCAAAAACAACATGAAAATGGGGGGGCTCCAAATTTTTGTAAAATGGAATGGGCAGTTTACGATTAGCTTTGGTATGATGTCCATTGTACAAAATCAATTTGTTGCACAGTGATGGGTTGATGAAGGGGATGAGAATAACAGTAAAACAAAAGAGGAGAGAGAGAAGAGGAGACAGAGAGGAGAGAGAGATTCCCGTAACTATTGAACTCTTAAGTTACTCTGTGTGCTTGTAGGGGGGGGGGGGTGAAATGACGCGAATTCCATGAGAGGAAAATCCTGCTGTAATAGTGAAATAATAATTGGTTCTCGCATATTCTATCATCCTATATATATATATAGTTATAGTTATAGTTATATATATAAATTGCATAAGAAACTTTTACAGCCTTTACAGCACTTGGAACATAACTCTCCTGATCGATCGGTGCTCTGTTTTTGTTGATGGTTTCATTGATTCAAAAGCTATCGTGGGATAGTGGGGAGTGCAGAGATCATTACTTGCGATTTTGAACACTCTTTCTTGTCATTTTACCATTATTCTATTGCTAATGAGAATAATGAATTGATACTCATTATGAATTCCTTTTTCATGATGCACACAACGAAAATAATAATAACAATAATAATTAAGATAAATTATAGTACTAATCTTTCCTAAGATATGAACAAACTATATCAATAATTGTTTATTACTTTTTATCTTTTCTAAATACAGTAATGTCTTTATATTACATTTTATACCATAAAAGAACATAATTGTTACAGTCAAACACCCCCCGGCCCCCCAAAGTACACCAAATTTATAGTGGCGTCAAATTAATTTAAATAATTTATTCATATGTAATACACCCCCCCCCCCCCCAAAGCGCACACCAAATTTCTAGTGGCGTCAAATTAATTTAAATAATTTATTCATATCTAATTTGTCTAAATTTAAAAAGAAATTATAATAACTACCATATATATATATATATATATATCTCGTTATATCTAATTTTATTTTATTGTATGAATTGGAAGGTGATTTATTTAAGAAGGATAATTTTTAATATTTAATCATTTCATTTTATTTGAATTTTACAGATAACTAAATCATTATTGAAGGAACCAAGCTTTTGAAATCAAATGAAACTTATAACTAATGGATTCTATAAATTTACAGAATTTATATGATGAGATGAGGTGAGATTCTGACAAAGTTATAAACGTTCACTAATCAACCATAAGGTGGAGCAAAAATTACTAATATGTCCTATACCAATAATACCATAGACTCTAAGTTCATTTGTTTTGATATAAAATATATATTTTTAAAAAAATTATTTTTATTTTTTAGGTAAATTTTTTTTTATTTTTTATTTTTTATATTTGATAAATGTCTAGGTCGAGATTGAAATCAAGTCATTCCGACGACAATAAAATAACTTATCAAAAATTGATAAATAAATTATTTTTGTTTGATTTTAATATATATATATTTTTAATAAAATATTTACGACAATCAAAAATATCAAAAAAATAAAAAAATATTTTACATCTAAACAAACAAGCTCCAAAAATAAAAAAATAATAACAAGCAGGAAAATCGAGATTTCCTTTCATTTGACGAGATCTTTCTCTCTTTACTTTTTTTTAAAAAATTTACTTTTGTGTGTGCGCAATGTGGCTTTACTATTGTTTTATTTATTATTGATAGGAATTCTCTTGCTAAGACTAGAAGAATGGATTAAATTAATTCTCAGATAGTCATATTTTATTTCAATAGAAAAAATAAAACAAATAAATTGTAACAGAAAGTTTAAACACTATTCTAATATGATTTGTGTATAATTAATTCTTCAATATTCATAGTAGATAAAATATAATATTTTTAATATAGTATAATATCAGTTCATAAACCTGCTGCATAAGGATGTCCCTGGATGAACCCGCCAGTTATGTTGGAGGCTCAGCTCTAACCCTTACTTATAAAAATATATTATATGATTGTAAAGTGGCATTATGAGAAATTAAACTAGAGATTTGAAGTTATGTTATATTTGGAAGTGCTAAATTAAAATTATATATGTATATATATTAATTTAAAATTTAAATTAAATTTACTTGGTTTCAAATTTAAAAACACCTATTTGATGTTTCCAAAAACAATATTAGAGCATTGCTATTTAGACTCACTAGTTTAACTAATTTATTTATTTAAATTAATTTTAATTTTTATTTATATAGTAGTATCTTATCCACTAAAAATTTAATTTTAACAATATCACTGGTGTCAACTCTGTAATTAAAATTCTTAATATAAAATCTTAATCTAACCGCATAGTACTTCTTATTTTTTTTTTTAGAATTGACATTAGATTGAATAATTTCACGAATTGAAATTTAGTATATTAAATTTCAAAAGAAATGAAGACATCCTATTTTTTAATTTAAAAATAAAAAAAAATGAAGTGGTCTTGACAGTTTTTTAAAATATTAATATCAATTTCATAAGAGTAATTACCCAAATTGATAATCACGGATGGAATTTGGATCCATCTAAAGTCGCAACTTGTTGACACCTCACTATAACACTAAAAATTAGTAGTAGTAAAAGGGCAGAAGAAAAAAGACAAAAGATTAAGAAAGGCAATAAAGAGACTCCCTGAAAAGATGTGCCACATGATCGATTCTCTCTCATATACGTGTTTGTTGGGAGCCGCAGCTTTTATGGATCATTACATGCTTAGCTTTTTTTCTTTTTTTTTAATTTTTTAAAAAAGTTAGCACCTACAAATCTAGGACTTAGGCCTCTCTCTCTATATATATATATTATATATATATGTGACATGTGTGTATCACCTAAACTGAACATGGACGAATTTTCGTCAAACAAAAAAATCAACCAAATTTGTAAAAGGCTCCCACGTAGCCCTAAGTCACCTCCCTTGATAAAAGCAAATGACCTTTTTATCTTTCTCTTCTTTTGTGGTGTACGGTTTGGCTAAAAACCAAACCTGCCTCTGTTACTGACTCCATTCACAGAGATGCACATGCCCACTATATCAACTTCTGATTTTTGCTTTTATGTGTTTCTGCGAGTGTATGTACAGTTGGGGACATTATTTTTGGTAATATACACCTATACCCTATACACGTCCATGTGATCGGTACCGCACGTAAAATTTAATCAAATCAAATCAAATCAAATCGGTACCGCACATATATATCATATACGTAGTATATATATATAAATATATATATATAGTATACACAATAGTTTACGGGTTAAGTAATAAAAAATAAATTTTGCCATAGCTATATATAAATTGACCTTATATTAAATATGAAAATTGACCAATTTTTCATTTGACCATTTAATAGCTTTTTTTTAACTTTACAACTTAATTTATTGGACCAATTTACATCTTATTAATATTTGATGCAAAAAGTTAAAAGTGTTGAATTAGTGGAAAAATCTATACAACAGTTAATAGAAAATTTGTTTGAAATCGGAGTAAGCAAAAATGTTTTGGAAAGTAAACTCGAACTATAAAGTTGGAAATTTTGGTGGTAATTCGATGTGTAAAAGGCTGTCAAATAAATAAATTGATTTCAAACCATGGAAAATTTCAGGCAGCAGTTGTTGTCGATTTTTTATAAAAATATATGTTTGGCGAAACACATGCTTTGGGTTACTCAGATGATGGTTTTATCGAAGCGTAATTTTGCTGGAGGAATCCGGATCACATTTTGGATTGAAAATTTGTATTTGCTTCTTCGATTTATTGCTTACACAATATAATACATTAGTTCCAAAACAAGATGTAAAATTTGTGAGTAAGTGATGTAAGATAGTTATTGTATAAACGGTACAAAATTATTATTATTGAATAAATAATAATTATTATTTTTTTGAGTCACAATAGATAAAGAAAATAAATTTTGTTATTGAAAGAATACCGGAGTGACAAAAATCAAAGATGAGGACAATGGAAAATAGAGTTTTTAATAGAATTGATTGATCTTCAAGTGAGTATGTGTTTGAGTTACTCAGAGAAAGAGAGGATGGATGGGAGGTAAATGATTTGTGCGTAGTTTTTTTTTGTGTTGTGAACTTGTGATTTCAATATTTTAGTGAAATAATTTTACCATTGCACTAAGATGTGCCATGAGTATATATGGTATAGTTTTAATAAAACTATAGCTAGATATGGAATGTAAAAAAATAAATAAATAATTTAGAAGCCCTAGTCGGTCCCACCTAAATTTGCGGGGAGCTCTTAAAAAGTGAGTTTTTTTTTTTTTTTTTTGAAAAGTACACTCTTAAAAATATATATATAAAAAAGGGAGTTCTGTAGCTATTTCCACTATATTTCTTACTGTAGACTAATGTACATTGTAAATATACTGAAAAGCAAGCTATTCAATTTTCATAACATTCTTTTAACTCATTTTGAGACCTATATATATATATATGTTAAAATGAATATTTTGCCTTGGCATGGGTGCACATTACTCCATTGTAGGAAAACACTTTCATTCCAAAACCTCCCCCTAAACACACATGAGATAATTAATATTCTGCTCGGTTCAGCTCCAATGATTTAGGAGTTAAACACAATAAACTCTAATTTAATTGATAAGTGTAACTTGCGAGCAGTTACACGTATCTAAAATTTAGCTTACGCCTAAGTACCGAAAATTGTGAGGTTCAGCATCATAAAAAATAAAAATTAAAAATTAAAAAACAAAGTATATGTGCACGTGTCACCTAATACTGCCATTTTGCCTTTAATTTTAAATACATTATATGTTGGTGGATGGGGGTGGATTGGATGAGAGTGGCATGTGGTATGGGTCCCATGATGTACCAAAAGTCGTCATCATTATGGGTCAAAATCCATAGTCCACCTAGAAAAGGGCAACTACAGGGAATGGAGAAAAGAGATAGGAATGTGAACAGTTACTTGTTTACACTCTTTGATCGGTGACAGTTTATCTACGTGGTATTCACTACTTTGTATAAATATAAAATTAAATATTGACACATCATTTTGTAAAGCATTTTTATTTGATCAATCGATTAAAACACTCCTCTTCAGGTGATGTGGTTGCAGATTAGTCCATTAAGAGTACTTGGTACTAAAAGGATCATAATGTACAATGTTCCAATTGAAACGTATGCAATTTATATTTGTTTGTTATGGTAATGGGTTCCCTAGGGTTTGGAGGGATTGTGTGCACATATAATTATGCTGTATGGATACAGTTTAATGTGAATCTCGTATTAGAATTTTATAGGATGAACAAAATAACGTCGTTTCGACGTGTATGACTCCATGAGACAAGAGAAGGGATTTTGGTTTTGTGTCTTATAATAGATAGGCCGGAGTTTAATAAATATTATAGGAATTTAACTTTTTTGA